CATACAAGTGCACCATATTGTGGTGTACGCCAGGTACATGCACTGCAGTGCGTTGTTAGAAAGGATTGCAGTGCATGCTTTTTTTTTCTTTTGTAAAGAAACATTAATTTAACTGTGGCAGCGCATGGCAAAGCTTTGTGATGCATTGCAGTGTGTTGTGATACCTTGTGTTGTAATTAAATATACGCCTGTTTTATTTTATCACAAACACCAACACAGCGCAAAAACCATTTATAACATAAATCGCTTATTTACAGTTTAGCGTTCCTTAATTTTTTTTTATAATCCCCCTCTCCTCAGCCTCTCATTGGTGTGGCAGTATTAAAGTAAAGTGTTAGGCCTCATTCAGGCGCCATTCACACCAGGGCGGAAGCGTTTCACCGTGGTTTCCGTCCGATTTTTGAAAGAGCATTTTGGCTGTTTTTAATCTTGTTTCAGCGCTGAACCACAATTAAAAACGCTCAAACATGCTAATCGGCGTATTTCTACTAAAATGGGGAGTTTCGTTGTGGGGGGGGGGCTTAAAAATGTTTGCTATGGGGCCCTGGGATTTCTAGTTACGCCCCTGCTTGTGTGCACTCAAAATGAGTATTTGGATGGCTGTTGAGATGGTATTTTTGCAGTGTACCTTATGGGGCAAACTAAACTCATCGTATGCATGGCTGTACTATCATTTTAAATCTAGTGGAAGAGACATTTTATACAAGACAGTGGCAATTGGCATCATTACTACTTATGGATAAGGTGATTTAGTAATCAACGACACTGGTCATTGCACACCGGCTGGGTTTAGTGTGCGTTGCAACTCTTGTTTTAGATATTGAAATGCAGATTATAGTCGGTGTTCACACTATTGTTAATGGGAGCCAATGTTTTGTTCAGACGTTGCAATCCTCATCATTCTACATAAAGAAAAAGTGTGAATTGTTTCTATTTACAGTTGTTTATTTTCACGCAATAAATATAGCATTATTACCAAAGTGCAAGTCTGGGTTAACCATTGAGTAAAATACCTCCGGAGACTGCCAGATGACCCCGCTCGGAGCGCCGCCCACCGGAGCAGCAGTGACGCGACGCTCGGCGAGGTAAGTAAGAAGAAACCTGACCAGTGTCTCAGTTCTTGAGACGCTGACTCGAGTATAAGCCGAGGGGGGCATTTTTCAGCAAAAAATGTGCTGAAAAACTCGGCTTATACTCGAGTATATACGGTAAGCACTTGTCTAGGGCAAGGGGACACCACAGAGTTTTTCTCCTAGCTATCATGTCCTTAAATGAAAAGTGCACTTTAAAACGGAGCGCACTTATCCTTTTTGCCCCCTTGGCCTTATGGTTAATTTATTTTGATAATAGATGAGTACCTATAAGGTTAGGTATAAAAATCAAGGAATTTAATTAAAAGATCAAAGGTGGGCTGCCTAATCACATATTAAAGAAGTGCGAAATGTGTCTTCTCTAAACCTATGACTTCTCTACAGAAAGTTTAATAAACTCTTGATTTTTGTGAAGGATAAAAGGCACATCACACACTCCAAGCCAGTGAGCCACACAGTCAGCCACATTCAGGTCAGGTCAGGTCATTTTCAAAGAACAACCATCCCACTAGGAGCCAAGGACCTGATTATGTGAGCAAACCCTTTCTTTGGTATGATGCATTGAGGAAGGAATACATTGTCACTAGGTAAAAATAATAATGGTGCACAAGCCCTGATTATATTGTATTTGGTAAAAATGGGTCAGTACGATAGACCAATAGTATAGTAATTTAGGACCTAAGTGTCTTCATTTATTTTTCATATGGTCAGGGTCTGGGGTTTTTTTGCAAATGTTTCTCTTTAAAGGATAAGTTCACCTTTTGCAAAAATTAAAGAAATGCATAATTCATATTACGGATATTTAAAAAAAATGCATCTCTTTAATATTTGCATTCAAGCCTGGAAAGCATTGCAACACTCGATCACAGCTGCAAATCTCAGGCTTCTGCACATTCTCTCCCAGGCTGAGCTCGTACTGCGGTACGGAGTTTCAGTTACGAGAGATGGGGAAGGATGGCTGGACTTCAAACTGCATTAAATCACCTCATATGGCGTCCAGCCACGCTCACTCTAGGTAAATGCAGGAATATGGGTTACCTAGAGTGAGGATGGCTGGACGCTGTATGAGGTGATTTAATGCAGTTTGAAGTCTAGCCATCCTTGCCCCTCATCACTCCTAACTGAAACTCTGTACCTGCGTACGGGCTCAGCCTGGGAAAGAATGTGCAGAAGCCTGAGCTTTGCAGCGGTCATCAAGTGATCAAATTGCAATGCTTTCCAGGCTTGAATGCAAATATTAAAGACATGCATTTTTTTTACATACATATTATGAATTTTTGCATTTCTTTAATTTTTGCAAAAGGTGAACTTATCCTTTAAGCTTTTTATCTGTTCTAAGCTGCACATGGTGACATCGTGTTTTTCTGCGGATTACACGGACACCCAAAACTTATGTTTTTTGCTTAATTGCCATGTTCATCAGTCAGTATTTGGAAAATGGGTTAATGTTTGCTATATTTTGGCTCTCTTAGAGTTCTTTCCAAGACACGCTGGAGTTTATGATGGCTAGCCGAGATTTTTGTAAGTCTTTCTGGAAGATATGTGTTGAGTACCATGCCTTCTTCAGGCTCTTTGAGGAACCCAAACCAAAGCCAAAACCAGTCCTTTTCAGCCGAGGTTCATCATTTAGATTCAGGTAAGGACCTGATTTTCTGCACTGAAACACACCAGAATAAAGCTGGCCATACTCGATCAAATTGTGGCCGTTTTCCTGCTGAAATCCAATAGGCGGCCCTGCCAAGCACCACCAGACTCAACAATAGTCAGTTTTTTAATTGACTTCTGTTTAAGTTGCCAAAAATGAAAACATTTTTGGGCTGAACAGTGACTTCAGCCAGTTCGAGGGGTGGATCTTCCCAGTGACACAGACAGCAATTGAAAATCGATGATTTATTTCTGTGTATTTCTTTGGACTGGGTAAAATAAGCATACATTTCCAGAAGAGAATGGTTTATATTACAGGTCTCCATTGTTAAACACAGTGCTGGTGCAAGCCTCCAGCTAATACTTGTTAAGCTGTCTTTCAAACCTGAAAACAGCGCACAGAAAACATGACACATGATCCTGTTTTACATCCTCGGCCCCTCCGGTTTTGTGTTGAACTTGCAGGCACATGCACAATGAGACGAATGTGTGATTTAGCATTGTATATTTCCTAGGTCATTTGGAATGCTTCTTCTGTCCTATATATGTAGATTTATGTATAAAGGGCCTGTATTGTAAGCCATACAACCATAAAAGTCATAACATTCATGATGCTGTAACATCAGCATTGCAAGGAATCATTTTGTGTTCTTAAGGCCTAGAATACACCATAACTGTGTATGTCTGCGCTATTTTGAGGAGATCTGATTCAATTTTTTTTCCAAAATGCAATCCAGACCATTTTGTCACTTACTTCTTCTTGTCAGAGCTCTTCCAATTCTGCTTTTTCTTTTCTTTTCTTTTTTCATTTTGGATGCTTTCCGTTTCGATGCGCTTGCATGCGTTTTAAAAGTGTTTTGATGCGTTCCGTTGTGGTCTGATGCCGCTAAAATGTGACAAGCTGTATTTTTTCTGACTGCATTGAAACAGACTGCACTGGTGTTAACATAGCACCAGAAATCCAATTGGAAAGTATTGTGATGCATTTTGGATGCAGCTGCCAAACTGAATGGACTGCATCTGGTGTGAACTTGGCCCCAAGCCAGTAGCCAATAAGTTTTTAGAATTGACCTCCGAGTAAACCTGTCATGAGAGAAATACAAGCGCTGCCATTGCTGGACTCCTTCTGACAATGCTAGTTGCCTGGCTGTTATGCTGACCCACTGGCTACAATACTTTGAGTCATGGACCTGAAAAAAGAATGCAGATCAGGAAAGCCATGTAAAACTAGTCCTGATTTTTATTCTTGCTTTAGACAACCAGGCGACCACAACGGATAGGGAGATCAGCAGCAGCAGCCAGGTCTTGAGCTGCATTCTTACCTTCAGTCTTGCACAGTTGCACAGGCTCCTCTCCTGTACTGAAATTCTGATTTGACTGTACACTGTGAGCATGTTACAATGTGCATTAGAAGTTGAAGCAACTTTGAAAGAGCCTGCCCCATTTCCTGACTGGAGGACATCCAGCATCATCTAGATCTTGCTCCCCAGCCTGCGTATGCTTAGCCTATCCCTTTCATATACTGGATTTCAGTTTTTTTAATCATGGAAGGTCAGCATCACATGTAGGTGTTACCTAGGGGGATCTGCATGCAGATACAGTCTGCTTAGGAACTCCCACCGTTCCAGGATGCTATCCACCAATCAAAGCATTTTGATATTTGCGTAATTCCTCCTATGAGCTGCTTGCATCAAGCAGGGTGCTGTGTGCTCTCACCAGCCATGATGTGCCTGCATTGCAAAGAGATGTACAGAGACCCAGTGATAGCATCACTGGGTCTAAAATAAAGCATGTCATAAAAACAGACAGGTTTTATTAAAAAAATTCAGTAGCATTTTGATTATTATGGGAGAAGAGACCAGTGATGGCAAACTATAGCCAGAATAAACTAGGGATACACCAATACCGTTTTTTCGGTATCGAGCACGAGTACCAATAAAATTTTTTTTTCGGTACTCCCAAGTACAGGTGCCGTGTGCCCCGATTATCAGAAAGTCGGGCAGCGTATCATGACCTGTTGCCCGGCTTACTGATTGCCTGTGAAGCCGGTGTTCTAGCAAAAGAAGACTGGGTTTACTTGCCGAGGCTACCTGGCTTCCTGACCAATCAGAAAACCGGGATGTGAGTCATGACGTGTCGCCCGACTTCCTGATTAGTTAGGAAGCCAGGCTACCTACCAACAAGTGGAGCTGGCTTCCTAGCCAATCAGGAAGCCAGGCGGCACGTCATGACCCGCCTCCCAGCTTCCTGATTGGCTAGGAAGCCGGCTTCACTTGTTCCTAGGCAGCCTAGCTTCCTGACCAATCAGTGAGCCTGGAGACAGGTCATTATGTGCCACCCGGCTTCCTGATTGGTCAGGAAGCCAGGTAGCCTCGGCAACAATTGAACCAGCTTCCTAGCCATTCAGGAAGTCGGGAGGCGGGTCATAACCCACCGCCTGGTTGCCTGATTGGAAAGAAAGCGGGCTCCATGCTCCCGCTGACCGGAAGTTTCAGTATCGGAGCATTTGGGCAAGTACGAGTACTCACCCAAAGACTCTGTATCGACACTAGCATCCCTGGATTAAAGGAGAACTATGGGGTCAGTGTTTTTCCCCATAGTTCTCCTTGGGGTAACGGGAGAACACAAACTAGCGTCCTCCCGTTACCCTAAGCTCAGTATACCGCGACCTACAGCTCGCGGTATACTGAGACGCCGCACCTGGAGCGGATCACGACTTAGATGACGGGATCCGCCCAGCTTCGTGAGTGACAGCTGGCTCTGCCTATCTAGAGGCAGAGACAGCTGTACCCGCCCCCTCCCCCGTCCGTTCCGCCAGTCAGCGCTGGCAGATCGGAGCGTGGAGAGGGGAATCCAGCCGTGACAGGATCGAGAGGTGAGGGAACCCGGTATGTGTTCTCTCACCTCCCGATCTACTGAGCCGACCTGTGACAGTCTCATTGTCACAGGTCGGCTAGAACTATGAGGTGAGTGGAAATCACTCATCTCATAGTTCTCCTTTAAACTTCACCTTTAAAACAAAACCTAAAGTTTTGTAGGGGGATGGGGTTAGAAGTTGCATAGCGTAATTGCACATTAGCTCAGTTTGTCCTCCTCCACCAATGAAAAGGTCTTTGCACTCTGTTGCCAGGCCCAATATTTTCTTTCTTCAACTGTTGGTGGCCACTGAAGTTATAACTCCTGCACATGCATGCTCGGTGTCTGGCAGTTTTTTTTTTTTTTTAACAAACCCCTCTGCATTACGACATATTTTATTCTTAGCTTTAGCTGTGCTTTATATACTAAAAGGTCACTTTGCAAACATGTCCAATATCAGACTGAATAAAACTGCCATTCAATTTCTGCTATGATTTGTTGTCAGCGGTCGTACACAGAAGCAAGTTTTGGACTATGTGAAGGAAGGAGGCCATAAAAAAGTACAGTTTGAAAGGTGAGAAATTCTGGTTCATCAAAATATTTGTATGACAAGCAGAAAACATCTTTATCTTTTGTTATTACTGGGAAAAAACAATATCAGTGTGGAGAGGGGGGCGGATAAGAATGGAATTAGGAATTAAGAATGGAGTTAAAAATAAATACACAAACTCTCTTTTTACAGGAAGCATAGCAAGCTTTGTTCTATAAGAAGTTTGACTGCCCACTCAACTGAGCAGATTTTAGAGGTGCCAAAACAAGTTAGTATATATATATCTTTTTCTGTTGTGCTATTTCTTGAATGAATATTGATGTCATTACTAAAGTAGTGTCAAACAGTTCTTATATACTAATTCTGGAAATGTCAAGTAAACCTGTGCTTTGGCCATTAAAGTCTATGTTAACCCAAAGTTTAAAATTGACAATGTGCCTTCCCTTAACATCCTAATAAATATATTGTTGCCTTTTTTTGTTCACAAATCATACTAAACCTGGTGATCCTGCCAGTCTCCTCTATGACCATGCTAACATAGATGCATCAATTCACTCACTGGACAATTTTTTTTTTCTCTCAATTTCACACTTCACACATAGAAATACACACAAACGGAAATATGCACAACCTCCCACAACCAGAATTACAAGCATTCATTTGCACACAATAAGGCCCCATTCACACTTGTATGTTTAGGTGTGATTAGAAATTCCTGCATCATGAACTTGCGTTTTCCTGCAGCAGGAATCCCTAATGTGGCATTTGCATGTGGCAGCTGTCACTCTTTCAAGTTAATGATCTGATGACAGCCACTGCATGTAAACTCCTGCACACCGCATGTAATCGTATGTGTTTGATTCCTAACCACATGTAATCATATCGCATACGATTACATGCGGTGTGCAGGAGTTTACATGCAGCGGCTGTCACCTGATCATTAACTTGAATGGATGACAGCTGCCGCATGTAAACGCCACATTAGGGATTCCTGCTGCAGGAAAATGCAAATTCCTGACGCAGAAATCCCTAATCGTACCTAAACATACAGGTGTGAATATGCTCCCCCCGTTCCGCACACACACACACACAAAATAATATGTTCCTCCCCTGTCGTCACCCCCAAAAATAAATAATACCCTCCCCCCGTTCCCCACCACCCACACAAAATAATATGCTGCCTCCTGTTCCCCACCCCACATAAAACAATTTGCCCCCTCACCTGCTTACATTTTTGCAGCGAGGAGGCACATCCTTCCCTGGTGATCCAGTGGTGATTAGTAAGGTCCGGTGCAGACCTTACTAACCCATCCTTTCAGCCAGAGCTCTGGCTGAAAGTAACTGAGCGCACAGCCAGCAGCATCTATGCAGTGTGCACCTGACAGAGATGCAGACCATGTAGCTGTTAATGCAAGTCAGGTACACGGTCCATGACCGTGTACCTGACTTGTCAGTTGGCTGAGGGCCACAATTGGCCCAGGGGCCGGTACTTTGAGACCTCTGACCTACACCATAAGGATAATAGAATACTCCAAACAACACCATAAAAAGGTGATTGAAAAGAAAGTCAGCAGATGGATAGAACAATATATAATGTTCACTGAATGTTCCCATGGAGTACAGTTAAATCAGTCGGTAAGAAAATGAAAGAGTATGGCACATTTGAATCTGCAAAGGAGCAGGCTGTCCACCAAAATTGAGCGACCGCTCAAGGAGGAGAATATTAATGGATGCCACCAAAAGACCAATGGCCATGCAGAGACCTCAGTGGCTGAGAAAGAGACTAGTTATTCAACAGCTGATACCTGGTGGCTTATGAGAGTGGCAAGAAGAAAGCCACTGTTAGCCTAAACTAATATGATATCTCACCTCCAGTTTGCATGAAAGCTCCTTTGACACCTTGAAGATAGCTGGAAGATATTTCTATAGTCTGATGGGACCATTCTGGCCATTCCGACTAAACACCCTGTCTTGCCTAAGCAAAGCGCTGTAAATGATCATTATTAGGTTTGACCTGAAATCATGATTTTGTATTGCTTTAGAAAAAATGTGACCTGTCCCTTTAAGAAAAAGTATCGGTAATTGGTATCGGCGGTACTTGAAAAAAGTATCGGTACTTGTACTCAGCCTTAAAAAAGTGGTATCGGTGCATCCCTAATCATTATCATCACCTCCATGAAGCATGGTTGGAGTCAGCAACATGCTGTAGGAATGGTGCTCTGGAACACATCCTGAAAAGCTTTTGAGGGTAAAGTAAATGAAGCGAAAACAGGAAAATCCTGGAGGAAAACCTTGAGTTGAGTCTTGAGTGGCCTTGAGTTACTTAAAAAATGCATTGTTCATGTATTTGAAAGACAGAGTCGGAATTTAAATTCAACAGAGAATTTTAAAAAGTCTGTTAACTCACACTCTTCGTTTAACTTAACACTTAGAGCAGTTTTGCAAACTGCAATGCATAAAAGTGTGATGTAAAAAGCATATATTACAGACTCAAGGCTGTAGTTGCTGCAAAGTTTTTCATTGTAGGTATTTCCCCCCTCCCCTGTCCGATCCTCCAGCGCTTACTGGCGGAACGGACGGGGGAGGGGGCAGGTACAGCTGGCTCTGCCTCTAGATAGGCAGAGGCAGCTGTCACTCACGCAGCTGGGTGGATCCAGACAGTAATGTCGAGATCCGTCCTGGCTGCGGCATCTCAGTATACTGCAAGCTGTAGACTTAACATGACAATTATTGCTTAAAACCGCACCTTATATATCAAAGTTTAAAGTGCCTTCAACCAGTGGAAACAGCCCAAAACAGTCTATCACGCCCCCTCTAACGTCATGATGATGTCACATTCCCGCCAAAAAAAAGGATTTAAAAAGCATGACAATGTAAACAAATGATGCACAATACGCTCCTACTGTCTGTCAGCTCGTCAATCGTGATCATAATCAGTTGCTGGTAATGAAACATACCTCATGCTCTGTCCACCCCACAAAGTGGCGAAAAGAGAACTGAAGAAGTTGCGCCGCATCTGCAGCATTCATCTAACAAAGCCGCCGGTTCCATGGAGACCGGGACACTCGTCAGTAGCTGAACAGACGCAGCGCAACTTCTTTAGTTCTTCTTTCGCCACTTTGTGGGGTGGACGGAGCACGAAGTATGTTTCATTACCAGCAATTGATTATGATCATGATTGATGAGCTGACAGACAGTAGGGAGCATATTATGCATCATTTGTTTCTATTGTTTACATTATGCACCTAGATGAGGATTAAACCTGTAGAAATTGTTAAATGGTGATGTCAGTAATAAGCTTTTACTGTAAACTCACTAAAAGAGGCCACCACCTAAAATTGGATGAAAAAAGGTTTAACCACAAAGGACAGAGGGAATTGTTTTCTATCAGAGCAGTAAAGTTGTGAAACTCCCTTCCAGATCAGAGGTATCAGCAAAGAGTATTAAATCATTCATTCAATTGTCGTTTACATGCTTTCCTCAGAGAACAAAACATACATGGGTACAGGTACTTTTAATTACTAGTGTACACAAACACTCACATAGGTTGAACTTGATGGACCTGTCTTTATTCAACCTCAAATACTATGTAACATTTCTTACCCTTTCTTTTTTTTCTTCTTTCATTTTTTTTTCCTACCACAGAGCCCTAAAATGTCTGTTGCACAACATCCTCAGCCTGATGAGATTCAAACATTATACCCAAGCAAGGAAGAAAAGCTAGTAATTGAGGCATCAGTGCAGCGCAAAAGCCCTTCTCCTAAGAAGATCATACTGGACAAGAAAGCAAAGGACGGCGCTGATATGATAGCTGATGGTGAAGACACAGTCAAAGATCATATTCAGCAGAATATGAAGAATGCACACCAGCCAAGCACAGGTCCAGCATCCCGGGCTGCTCATGGCAGCAGTAACTCAATTCCTTATATTGACTGCAGTGATGTAGATAGCGAGTATGATATTCACAGAGCGCTTTTGGTCCGCTCTCAGTCCCAAACAAATGACAACGATGAGATTGGATTTCATTGTAGTAATGGAATCTATCGAACAGATGAATATCCCAAACATTCCAAATTGAGACAGCAAATTTCCTCTGTTAGGTCATCATCTAACATTATTGAAGAGTATATTGATGATGACTCAGCTGGTATGTCTTTTTATGCTGGCAGTAGTCCCAAAATGCCTAGGCACAGCTCTTTAATAGATGAAATGTTTAATGGACCAGGCAGACGTAGTCCCCTAGCTGCTCCTTTGTCTCCAAGTAGCAAAGGATCAAGCCCAAATATGAGTTTTAACAGAGCAGGTTCACCCAGTTATATCTCAGCAAATTCATACAATAACAATAATGGGGTGGGGATTCTAGAAGACAGTGAACTGGATAGCCAAAGCTATGCCTATACCAAGTATAGCCCACCTTTGGAGAGTGCACATATTCAGAAACTCAAGGCTGGCTACCGTAACCATTCTGATACTGATCCTTTTATTTTAAGCCAAATGTCTTCCACCCCAGTCACCGACCACAAAGCTGAAGACCAAAGGTTAGGCCATCTTTCCAAAATGGCTGCCCTGGAAGCCAAAATGATGTCAAATGGCATTTTTGACAATAGACATCTTAGGTGCAGTCCTGTATTGCGTCCAGCAGCTATGGTACAAGAACAAATGAGTGCTGTCCCCATGAATGATGGTTCTACCAGTAGCGGTAGTGAATCTAGCGATACAGATTCAGACATAGTTGATTCTTTTAGCCACCCACTTGTTTACGGAAACCCAATAGTGTTAAGCTCTTCACCGATGCCAAGAAATAACTACTCATTTGGTAGTCTTCAGCTGGAGGAGTATGCAGAAGAAATGCATGATGAGGATACCGTCCTTAGTTTTAGCGATGAAGATGGTGCACATATTTTCAGCTGCTGAGCAGTTCAATAGGAAAGCATTCATCTTGGCTATAAAAATCTGCACATGTTAAAATTGTTTACGGCATGCTAGAAGTAGTAGCTGTAGTTACAGAGGTAGCGTGCACATTTTGTTTACTCAGTTTTAGAAGTCAATTAAGTATTTGATCATATAATTTAATAGTATTGATGTTGCAGGGTTTTTCTGATTGGACTTTTGTACTGTAGTAGTAGCACTTACATTATTTTTTTGTAGATGACTCATTTGTATATTTTAATTCATGCACATAGAGTAGCAGTATTTGATGTGGATTAGGGAACACACAAGTTGGTGAGCTTGATTTGCACTAATCATTTCTTAATGCAGCCTTCGTAAAGTCTGATGCTCAACCAATTGTTTTAATGTCATTTTAGCAAAACTATCTTGTGTGCTGGTGGTAACTGAACATGAAGCGTTAGTGCCACAGTTATACTGTAAGCCATACATGTGACAAGACTTATTGTTTAGATTAGAGATTGAATATATTTTTCTTTATTCAGTGCCTATTGTTTCATTATGAAGTGATACATATGACAGTGCTGCAGTGTAGAATATATTCTGACTTGATATTTTGTAGTTTTACCCACTCTTTAAAACGGGGGATTTTTCACAGTTTAAGAAATATACTAATTTACACCTTTACATTTTGAGAGGATACTATATCCTGAAATACTTGTAAATGTTTTGCTTAGTTAATTTTGTTTTTCCCTTTAGTTTGTTAGTAAATTGTACATTATCTTTAGAAATCATTTGCAATATTTGCATAGCATATATTAGAATGTTGTAGCACCTTTAATTCTCACACTCCGTTAAGAGTTGGCCTTGTGCTCCGAGCAGAACTAGGTTGTTTGACATCAACTAGCGCAATAATCTTAGCCCTGGCAAAGAGAGAGGGAGGGCAGACTCTGAAGCAAGATTGCATTGTATGTTATAATGCTTCACTTTTATACAGGTGCTAGTAACATTTCAGACACTATACTAGTTGGCTTATGAAGTGATACATTCACTTTAAGCTGCTGTTAGGCTGGGTTCACACCTAGGTGTACAGAATATGCGCGTTTCTTGTTGCGCGTTATCCGGCTGTATCCTAATGGATACGTGCGGCAAATAAGCCCCAAAGAAGCTCCTGTACTTCTTTGGGCGTAGGGCGTTTTGCAGCGTGTTCCTACGCGCTGTAAAACGCCCGGGTGGGAACCATGGCCATAGGCAATCATTGGTTTTCACATGTTGAGCGTTTTACAGCGCGTAGGAACGCGCTGTAAAACGCCCAGGTGTGAACCAGGCCTTAGATGGAAAGAAGCAGAGCTCAATTGATTATTGTTGTTCTTATATTGTTAATCCAGCCTGGACTGATCCTGAAAGACAGGCCATCAGACAGGATGCCATTTAGTGTAGCAATGAACAATATTTATACACAATTATTTTTCATAGTGAAGTTTGAATAATGATGCATCCTTAAATTCCAAATCTAGGTTCAGCTCATTATTATTTGATTCAGTCTGTCCTGCTTGTATCATATTAGCAACTAGGTATGCACTGATACCAAGTACCGTACTCGGTACATGTACAGATACCTTTCGAGCTCTAAGACTAGAGAAAAATTCAAATGTTAGGAGGCAGCTGTCATTTGTAAGGAGCACACAGAGCTCCTGGCATTTGTACATCTCTGTTTTAATGTATGATTTTGGTTTATAAATATAAATAAAGGGATGCACCATTTTTGCAGAGAGAAAATTTGCCCAAGTACTGATACATTTTTGTTTATTGTCATGTGACCGTTTTAAAAAAACAATACAGACTAATGATTTCAGGACAGTGGTGGAGCCCCAGAGCCAAGTCCCAGCTGCAACCTCTGCAACCCTGGTAGTTCTCATGAAAATGCCAAGTATCGGCACGGGTATCTGAAAAGTATCAGTGCATCCCTATTAGCAACTGTATTCCACAGAGCTCATGTGCTCTGGCAGTCATGGAGACACCTTCTGGTCTTCTGGATTGCAGGCATTATCTGGTCACCTGTGATCAGTGTGGTCATTACTGCTAGTGGTGAGAAGGTCTGTTAAACCCACCCAGTAACTCCCACTTTAAATGACTGATGCCTGTCTTCTATCGCTGTTCTGCTCCACCCACAGCCTGGTGCTGGATAGAGGGCAGTAAGGACTCTGGTGGTCATGTCATAATCACCTATAAAAACATTTCAAGGTACTTAAAAATAGCAACCATGTTTGCAGCAGAGGGATTGTGTGTGTGTGTGTGTGTGTGTGTGTGTGTGTGTGTGTGTGGTGCAAAGCATTAATCTCCTATTATCAAATGACTTCTACAACATTTACTGTGTCTGTAGACATAGGCAGTTGTCCTTTTCTGACAGGATATGAAGAGCAGGGTGATTTAGGATGCCTGGTAAAAGCTCTGGACCCCTTTAACATAGCTTTTCATGCCAACTGTTCCCAGGGATAGGAGGGACATCGGTGGGGTCTGCAAGGCACAGGATGCACTCTTATGCAAATGATCATTTGGCAGTCATCCAACTGCTGTCTGAAGTCTGTGGTTATCTTCAAGGTTACAAATTACCCATTCTTGGGTGGCTTACACATCTGCAAATGCCACTAACATATGGGCTGCTTATATCCAATTTGTTGTGCCGTTTGCTTTGTTTTGTTTTCTAAACAAGCTTTGAACACTAATATCCTTGTGATGTATTACTCCAGAAAGTTCACTCTCATTCTTGTCATTTGTTAACATGCTATGAAGTCAGATATCTGTATTTGTTTTCAGCACTGCTTTTGTCTGCATGTACTGTACCTTAAACAAAGGATGTGGAAGGGGCTGCTGTCTTCATCCTCCGGCATGTTTTATCCTCTGTTACTTACATTTTCCTGGTCTTGTTTTAATGTTCCTTTCTTTAAATTATCCTTTTATGAATACATGGTCCTTTACCCTACAACAACAGTGATCCATTCAGCCAGGGTTTCAATTAATTCTCTACTCTTTGTAACAACGCCTAGTTCCTACTACAGGCCTGTACTTAACAGCAAAATTCAGCCCAAGACAGTGTTCACTGCATGTCGAGCAGAATCGGGAATCATGAAAACTGATTTTATATTTGTTGCAATGTCCTCGGCATTTCAGAGAGATAAGAAAGGCACATTGGAGTAGAATGTTACACAGTTGTACTCTCTATCCTCATAAACGTTGGGATTAAATGGAGAAAAGCCAAGTTTACCTTTCTCGAAAGCTTTTCTCTGTCAGCTGTGAACATGCAGATTCCCCTTACTGCATAGAAGTCCGTCTTTGTTCTTTATATCTTCATTTTTCTCTCTGCGCTATACCTAAATAAACTGGGGTAGTGAAAGGGAAGACATTTTTCAACACTACATTTTTGTGGTGTGTCTTAAAATTGCTGTCACCATGGCAAAGATCACTGATGTTATTCCAGGGATTAGCTTTTTTTCAGGAGCAATACATTTTTGACCAAGGTGTAACCATGGGTTTTACACTGGAAAGGAAGCAAAAGTAATTTTGTACTGTGCTCACCAGGAACTAATGTTGTACTGTATTAGCCATTATAATGGCTAACTGAAGACATTGAGGGGAATTTATAAAAACTGGAGCAGACAAAATCTGGAACAGCTGTGCATGGCAACCAGTCAGCATCTATCTTTCATTTTAAATCTAAACTGAACAGGTAAACTGTATTGTTGCCATGGGCAACTGCTCCAGATTCTGTCTGCTCCTGTTTTGATAAATTCCCCTCTGAATCTTTTAATGGCTAACAGATAAATCTGCCTGACAAAGGAGCCTCTGTAATCCCATAGTTTGCCATTAAAGTGTATCACTGTTGCAAAAATGTTTAGGATTACTTAATTTGCACTGGTAAAAAACACTCAAAAAAACAATGCTAATGTTACACCATGGTCAGCAGTTGTAGTATGGGATGGTGACACCTCTATG